ATCAGTACTTCTAACAATAGCAAGAGTAATTACGAAAGATATTCTACATCATTTTATGCAAGCAATGTAGCAATAGCCTTAATGAGTCATGTCTTGAAATTGTTTTTAAAAGTAATTCACAATAGAATACATAAGAAATTAGATGAAGGCATAAGTAATACACACATGGGATTTAGGAAAGGACTGGGAACACGAGATGCACTGTTTGCAGTAAGTGTTCTTTCGCAGAGATGCTTAGATATTAATCAGGAAGTATATGCCTGTTTCATTGATTTTGAGAAGGCATTTGACAAAGTGCAGCATAATCGACTTAAAGAAATTTTATTAAATAAAAACATAGACAGTAGAGACATTAGAATCATCTGCAACCTCTATTGGGATCAAACAGCAAAAGTAAAAGTTGAAAACGAACTGACCAAGGATATCCAGATTCGCCGTGGGGTCCGCCAAGGGTGTATTTTATCACCCTTGTTATTCAATTTATACAGTGAAGCCATCTCAGAATTAGCGCTTGCCGAGATCAGTAAGGGCCTTATAATAAACGGTGAGCCACTTAATAACATAAGATATGCTGACGACACCGTCCTTCTGGCAGGAACACTAGAAGAACTGCAACACCTTGCTGAACAACTAAATATATATTGCAACGATTATGGACTAAAAATCAATTTGAAGAAAACCAAGTTCATGGTATTTACAAAAGCACAAAACATCAAAGTTAAGCTAGTTCTAGATAATACAGAAATTGAACAAATATCTTCGTACAAATACCTTGGAGCATGGATCACAGAAGATACTGATTAGACAAAAGAAATAAGATGCCGCATTGAAATTGCGCGGTCAACTTTTAATAGAATGAGAAAACTTTTTTGTAATCGCGATATCAATATATCGCTCCGGATAAGAATGCTTCGATGTTATATTTTCTCTACCCTTTTGTATGGAGTTGAAGCTTGGACACTTAAAAAATCCAACATTAAAATCCTAGAAGCATTCGAAATGTGGTGTTACCGACGTATTTTGAAAATATCATGGATGGATCGCAAAACAAACGAACAAGTTCTCGAACAACTAGGAAAACAATGCGAAGTTTTAAATTACATAAAAATCAGGAAATAGGAATACTTGGGGCACATCATGAGAGGTGAAAAGTACGAACTACTAAGGAATATAATGCAGGATAAAATCAAAGGTAGAAGAAGCGTAGAAGAAGAAGAAGAAGAATGTAGCAATGCAAGGGGGAGGATCCGACGTGTAAGGTGAAATGTAAATAAATACCGACAAAAATTAATTTAGGTACATACGATATATTCTATCGTAAAAAAGTAAGAAAATAAATACTTTTAGTTACATATTTAATACCAGAACAACCACTATATCTTAGCAGAACATATTAAAACCTGCGCTATTATGCTACTTACTTATAATATACATGCTGATGAAAACAAAAAGCTTTGAATAGTTAACTGTCCGTTAACTAGTCCGTGGTTCTGAATAATTGTGAGATGAGTCTGACACAGACTTTTCATTGACAAGAGTTTCTATTAAATTTTTTTTTTAATATTTCAATTAAGTAGAAAAAATTACAGTACTCTTTTATTACATTTACACAACACACTTATATAGAATCCTTACGCTCAGAATTTAAGATTTTTGTAATCAACAGCCATAAATTTATTTGGTGTAATATATAAGACAATTTTTTTGTAGATGTTAGACAACAAGGAGTCTACGTTCAAATGGACTACGGCAACAATGGTCATCCCAATAACAACATAGCTGTAAAAGGACTCAAATTGTCACACGTTACTGGAACCGTTTCAGGAAACTCAGCTAGACCTTACTACATTGTATGTGGAGACAAGTGTTCAAACTGGATATTCAACGATGTTCACGTTACAGGAGGTGGTATCCACAGCTCGTGCAATTATAAGCCAGCAGGATTTAGTTGTTAGATTGTGATCCTGAAGTTAGGAAGTAGATTGATAGATGTAATATATTATTATTTTCTTAATAAACAGATTGTTACTTTTTAACAATACAATATGTCTCATTAATTTTTATCCTTATGCTAATACAAACATACTATCGATTTATCGATCACTAAAAATTATCACAATCATCATGTTACCCGTATTTAAGTCTCTAAACGACGCTTAGGACCAACAACTCGTAACCTGACAAAGACATAATACTGGCCTTAAAATTCCAAAAAAAGAATTTTCTCAGACGATAGGCACTACATGGAAAAACGAAAGAGTAGGAATAATTAAAAAGGGTTTAGAAAAGCTGGTCTATATCCATTAATCCGTCATGTCATACCAGAGGAAAAATAACACCCTGAAAGCCCAAAAAGATGGAAAGAACAAAAGAGAGAACAAAACCATCCAATATTTATAATGCAACTTCAAGTAGTAGTTCTTTCAAAATAAGTTTTGAGGAGCTGCTATTAAACAATGTTAAACAGATAAATAAACAAAGTCCTTCGGGCCCAAAAAGAAGTAGCTGCAGGGGCAGAAGTCGTTACTTCTGAGGAAGTTTTGAATAAACTTACAAAGTAAAATAAATTTAAGAACATAAAAAAAGGAAAAACAAACAAAAGACGAAGAACACAGAAAGAAAAAAGAAGCAAAAATTCAAAAACCGAAGAGGATTAAGAAACGAGAAGAAACTTTTAGTCGCTCAGAATCAGAAGAAGATTTAGTAGAATATGTTGACTCTGAAGATGATTTAGATCCTGAAATATTTAAAAAAAAAACGAGCAATAATTGAGAAAGACATGCCAACAGTTGGAGCGTTGGGAAAAAGACCCAAATCGCGCTGGGTATTTTAATTGTTGTAGAGTACCCATTGCCCCAAAAATAACACACGCTGTTGTAAGCCAAAGTCCATTGTCACACTTACCCAAAATTAACGGGAAAGTATGAACCATGGATACTTAAATAAAATTTAACATAATTTCCACATCTGATGTTACGAACGTGCCCAAATGTAAGTATATGTAGTTTAGTCCGTAAGCATTCTATTCTTTGTTTCATGTTAAGAAAATAACATTACGCTTATGGAGATCAGTGTTGCCAAAACTCTCAGACACTCTCTTTTGCACGGATGTCCAAGATATTCCCTTTGCTTAATTTTTGAATTTTCATTTTCAATTAATATTTAACTGTAAAGTCAGAATAACTACTAAATAAAAGCCTTATTATCATTATGTAGTCAGAGACGACATAAAATAGCTGACATACGCATATCGTATTATTTTAAGTTGCAATTAGTAATTAGATATACGCATTCCAAGCGGTCAATATTTTCTACTGATTTATATGATTCATGGCATATCGTATTCTCACCGAAAAACAAATAAACTGTCGTTACTATAATTAAAATAAAATAAAATAAAATTATCTTTTGTAAATACTATTTATCTAATTAAAATCATTTTCCCTACTTTTCATCTCTTGTTTCGAATGGGCACTTTTGGTCAATTACGTTAAAAACATTAATTTAATTCATGTTTGTGGAAACGAAAATACAAATTATACAACCCTAAATTGTGCTTGTGTGTGTCGTGGCAACGCCGCATTGCTATCGTCCATAAGAAATACATGGCCCTATCTTCGCAATGTTATTTTCTAAACGTGGAACGTAGTATAGGAAAAAAATATCATGACTTAAAACATCTCCTAAATTATCCAAAATATGTTATAAAAATTATCTAATTGGAAAATTAGTTCACACTTCGATGGGTTCACCCATGTTTTAGAATTCTCAATACTTTGAACAATATTTTCAATGCTTTCAACATTATAAACATTAAGGGGCTAGCTATTTCTACGTCGTTTCTTAACCATTTTGAACCTGTAGCAGGATCAAAGATTACGGAGTTTGGCTCTATCTCTCGGCTATTATCAGTGGATAATTTTTTGAAAGTTTTACACATTTGTTTTGGATTATTTCGATACATATCAATTTTGTTAAAATAGAACCACAGTTTGTTTAGTTTTAACATATTTTCTTATATTTCCGTAACCGGAAAAATCCTGGATTCGAAGCCAACACAACTCACACTGTAAATTTAAAAAGGTTTCATAATAGCGCAATGAGAAATTTCTGAAAAAAGAACTCGAGTGAGTAAAAACTTTTGCTTAAAGTGATAAGAGTAAGTGGGGTTATTTATAATTCGAAACAGTCAATTGGTGAAACTTTTTTCGTTAGATTTCCGACGTTTTTCCCAAAGTTAAAAATAATTCTGCTAACTGAGGACTGATACGAACTTGATTTTTGTGCAATTGAAGCGGATCTAGTTCCTTTCGAGGTCCTTCAAAACGGATATGATGCACATGGACAGTACTGAATATGCGTCAGAAGACAATAAGAGAAAGGATAAAGGATCTTACCATAGCCTGTTGGTTAAAGTAGTGATTTCTCACTATTAATATCATTTTTGCCAAGTCCTTTTTGCTTTAGACATTTTAATAGAATTGGTGATCTACGGGTTCCTTGAAGTAGTAGAAGAAGACCAAAAAAGACCTGGGGCTAACGCTTAGGCAGGACATCTCGGTAACAGGTATTAAGATTAATATGATCCAAGATAGAAACTTATGGAGAAATGTCTCCCAGGAATCAGGACTATTGTTGGTATCAACGTTGTTGTCTATCAGATAACACTGCTCTGCTGACCATGTAGGTAAACTCACATTAATCAACTATCTGTTAAAAATACATTTTTCTTGAATATTTGCAATTCGGCACCTATCTTTAAATATAATTTGAGGTTAAAATCCAACTATTCCTCATTTTTCCTCAAACTCAACTGCATTAAGCATTTGGTTTTATTATTTTGTAATTTGACGTTTCTGTATTTAATAGATTTATATGTAGATGACAGTATAAGTGTTTAAAATGCGACAGACAAAATTTATTATAAAAAAATACAACTTACAATTTTCAAGAAATCAACAAACTAATTACATTTTCTTTCCAAAAGAAGTTATTATTATTTACGGTTTCTCAGCTTTTGTAAAACATGCTCGTATCTTATTCATATCGTCGCAGCTTGCAATTTTGTCGATCGTACCGAAGCAGGTCTTCAATTCTGCAATCTTAGAATCATCGTAGTGTGCAGAGGCTTTTGGAAAAGCTTTTTCGAAGAGATCTGGTTTGACAGCACCAGATCCATCAATCATGCCTTGTTTTTCTAGTATGCATTTCCAAAAACATCGAACTTCGTTGGTCTGTTTACGAGGTCTGGCGAAAACGTCGTCTGCTATAGCTCCAGTTTTTTTCAGGCATTCGTCCATGCCCTCTGGTTTATCGTCGGCTCTTGAGGACTGGATCTTGAATGTAGAAAAAATATTAACTATGTTTAGATAGCAATAGCTACGGTAAATTAATAGAATGCAATATAATCCAAATCTCAATTGGTCGGTAAATAAAATGCTAGCTCAATTATTTTGATTACAGTTTTAAATGGAATGAAAATGGAATAACTGCAGAGATGCTAAAATATGGTGGAAAAGTGGTAATTAATACTCTACATTTTCTTTTTAACAAGATATTAAAAGAAAAAGAATCCCAAACAACTGGAGGGAATCCGTAACCATTAGCCTACACAAGAAAGGGGATAAAGCAGATATAAAAAAACTACCATCCCATAACACTCCGCAATGTAATGTATAAACTCCTAGCAAAAATTTTAACCAGTAGATTGACGACAAAATTCGACGAATACCAGTCAAAAGAACAAGCTGGTTTTAGAAAGGGATTCAGCACAAGTGACCATTTACTAAGTATGATAATACTTATAGAATGAGCAAATGAATACCACATTTCTCTATACCAGCGATACTCAACCTTTTTTTTCCCTGGGCCGCATAGTAGCTATTGCCACAGCTTGCGGGCCTCACTCTAGGTGAAGTAGTATAAATACACATAATATATATATATATATATATATATATATATATATATATATATTATATATATATATATATATATATATAGAAAGCTTGAGATATAAAATCTATAAAAAATAGTCTTCTAGAACAGCCCTTTTTATTGACTTCAACCTACCGAAACAAAAATTTATATATATATATATATATATATATATATATATATATATATATATATATATATATATACATTATTTTCAAAATACTGATTTCAAAAATGTATAATACTTTCGCAAAATTTCGATCAAATGCTTTTTAAATGCATTAATTTTTTTAATTATTGGAAAACTAATAAGAATTTTGGAAAAATTTAAATGCAGAAATGCAGAATATAATAAGTTACAGGGGTGCAGGGCCGTAAGTTTATTTTAATAAGTTACAGGGATGCAGGGCCGTGCCGTGCTATGATACGGCGAGGCAGTCGCATCAGGCGGCATCACAAGGGGGGCGGCATAATCAGTAAAATAAAAAAAAATGTCTAGGCTGTGTAAAATTGTTGTCAGAAACAATAGACAAAACGAAAAGTTACAGATAATATGGCTAATGACCAAATGAAAATTTAATGCAATTGCAGAAAAGTTTATATATGTATTGCATTTCCAGCTGAAAATGAAATTCAAGCCAGGATAAAAATGCATTGGTTTTTTCGAATTCTGAGAAAACTAATAAGTATTTTTGAAAAATTTAAACGCAGAGTGAAAGATTACATTATTACCGAGGGCAGAAAGTCCCTGAAAATTTCTATGTCTATTTTAATAAGTTACAGGGGTGAAAGGACAGAAAATTTATTGTGATTTTTAATTTCAAATATTTCATTCAAAAGAAACTTTTTATTTATTCTAAGGGAATTTAGGCTCTGGGTAATAATGAAATATTTCATTCTGCATTTAAAGTTTTCAAAAATATTAATTAGTTTTCTCAGGATTTGATAAAAAATGCATAAAAATGAAAGTTAAATTTCAATCATATATAAGAGGCGGCATTTCAAAGACTTGCATCATATTAAAAGATGTACCTCACGGCTCTGCAGGGGTGAAAACAAAGAGAAAATTTAGTATGATTTTTCATTTCAAATACATACAATAATGTGATCTTTCATTCGGCGTTTAAAATTTTTCAAAAATACTCATTAGTTTTCTCATGATTCGAAAAAAAATGTATTTCAAAAGCGTTTAAATGAGGTATCACATGATGTCTGTACTTTCCCATTTAAAAAAATCATAGTTACGACTGTAACCTGAAGAGGGATCGCGTAAAGTTCGAAACATTTATGTTATAATAATATATGATGTGTGTGTGTGGATTCTACAAAAAAAACGGACTCGTTAAATTAAAGCATTTATTTAAGATAAAAATTAATGTGATGGTTGACACTGACGCAAACTATCAACAATTTTAGATAAATCTGGTACGTAATTACTACAAGCTACTCTTAAAACATTGTCATAATGAATTACAAAAATATCTAATATAATATAGTATTTTTTAAAATGTAAGATTTTATAAATACATATGTAGATAAAGTCAAAAATTCTTAGTTAGCCTTCGGGCCGCAAAAAAAACGCCCGAGGGCCGCAGGTTGAGTATCACTGCTCTATACTATATATGGTGTTCATAGATCTCGAAAAGGTTTTCGACAGTGTCGAACATTGGGCAGTGAAAAGTTCTTTGATTAACAGTACAATTGACCACAGAATATATATATATATATATATATATATATATATATATATATATATATGTATATATATATATATATATATATATGTATATATATATATATATATATATATATATATATATAAGGAAGCCAAAACAACAATTAAAGTATATGAAGGAACAAACTCAATACAAATAAATAAAAAGAAGAATTATTTGAAATGATGAAAGAACTGGACGTAGAAGCTGGAAAGATAGGCTTTAATATGAATTACAGCAAAACCAAAACCATAATAAATACAGATGAAGACATCACAATGAGAATCGTACAAGATGAAATAGAACAAGTTCAGGATTATATATATATATATATATATATATATATATATATATATATATATATATATATATTATATATATATATATATATATATATGTGTGTGTGTGTCAAACTATAAAACTTAACAAAGAAAACCAAACGGCAGAGATAAAAAGACAAGTTAGACTGGCGTGGGCGGCATTTAGCAAACTAAGCTACATTCTTAAAAACAAAAGATATCCACAACATCTTAAGACCAAAGTATACAATCAATGCGTACTCCCTGTTCTTACTTATGGTGCTCAAATGTGGACATTTACAAAAGCAAACATGGACAAAATCATAAAAATCCAAAGAGCAATGGAAAGACAAATGTTGCACATAAGACTAATGGATAAAAAGAGAAACAAGTGGATAAGAGAGAAAACAAAAGTGAGGGATGTTAGACAAAAAGTTGCAAAATGAAATGGAGATTTGCCGGATACAATATAAGACAAAAAGAAGACCGACGAAACAAAATTCTTATAAGTTGAGACCGTGGGAATACAAACGAAGCAGAGGAAGGCCCACAATGAGATGGGCAGATGGTATCAAGAAGCACGTGGGCTCTAGATGGATGACTGTAGTGACATACAGAGAAGAATAGAAAAGGATTGGGGAGGCTTATGTCTAAAGATGAACCAAAGAAAGCTAATTAGATAGATAGATTACACAGTTTTAAATTGTTTTTCCGATATAATATCGTAGCGGGATTGTACCTGGAAAAACTGAGAAGCAGACATCTGATTTAGCTACATCTTGTACACTCTGATTTAAGAGCTGGAAAGGTTTTCTTTTACGCATATAACTAAAAATTGATCTTATTAAACTGTAGGTATGGCACGTATATGTTTAACTGGTTGCTCAAAAGACTACTATTTTTACGAAGTTGTCGTAATTAACGTCCATTAACGTTGCTTAATGACAGAACAAGGTCATTTTAATACAATTGCCAAATACAAGCTATAATATAATATCAACAATCTACTATATATAAGTCAATAATGGCTAGTATTCACCTTTGTGACACTACTAAGGAGAGTACACGCAACAGCATATTCATAGGCTATAACATTTTCTTCAAAAAAGTCGCATACTTGAAATCTTTCTGAAAATAATACTACTATACTCTACTATAAAAGAAGATACAGATAATACCCAGTTCGGATTCAGGAAAGAAACAAGAACATTTCTTTTAATGTGCTGGCGCAAATATGGGTAAATATGAATTAGAACCAGTGTAATTGTTTCATTGATTTTCAGATGGCATTCGATAGAAAAAGACATCAGAAAATTGTAGGAGAGCAGTCATACACCAGCGTCTTCTAGTCGCAAAGTAGCAAATTGACTTGAAATTTTAAACTACCACGTTACCCTTTTAATTTTTCCCTGCATTTAGCATTAAGCTTTAGCGATCGCCTACTCCATTTGGATATCTGATGCTTGATGGATCATAATTAATCTGTATTGGAATCAAAAAGCAACTATCAAAATTGACAACTATAAAACATAGAAATTAAAAAATGCGTTCGACGGGGGTGTTTGTTGTGATTTAACCTTTAAAGCGAATCTATTTTTAAAGAAGCATTATTGCAGAAATGTATAGGAATAAACGAAAAAATCGTAATATTTGCAGATGACAAATAGAAAGGACTATCAACAACAAACATCTAGAAACTTGGAAAAATGTATGAAATGTAAAAAAGACGAAAAAAGTAAAGAAATAAAAACACGCATTAAAATAATTACTATTTAAATGGGAATAAGCCACACTTAAAGGTTAAAGTACGTTTGTTGACGTTTCAATTTCCATTGAACTACTAAATAAATAAAACATAGTTGCGCACTGTGCACATGAGCAGAAGAAGCAAAGAAAAAACAAAATGAGATTTATAAAACGTTTATATAACAAATAAAATTTTATGTTATTCTATGTACGAGTATATAGAATAAAAACAAAATAAAAATATCGACTAGAAAACACGTATGATCCATAATAAATATCAAAAGTTAAAATAACATAGGGAGTTAAATAATGAAGTATTAGTAAATTAAAAATACAGTTGTCTGCTAAATAAACTTACACATATTGCTACTGCTATCGCGAGAAAAGTAAATATTTTCGCCATTTTAACAGGTGATGGATAAATAATCACTGTTTAAAGTGACAAAAAACGAGGCTTATATCCAAACCGGAATATTTGTGTACTTCACATAATAGTACGAAAATTATTTATTAAATTTTTGAAGGTAATTTTTAGTTCCGGTTCCTAATTTAAATAAAAACATCATAATAGGTGTAATTCAAATAACAAATTTAAAACAAATTATCTTCACAAATTATGCTTTACCAGTAAAAAAAAGGATTGGGAGTGGCTACGAAATAGCTAAGTAGAAAACTTGAGTTTTATCTAGCATCTATTTTTTCTAGACGATATTATTGCTGTAAGAGTGTATGTATAGAGAAGACGAAATAATTACTATTTAAATAGAAATAAGCCACATGAAAGGTTAAAGTAGGTTTATTGACGTTTCAATTTATACGTCGGAAATCGTTTTTAAAATACAAACGAATACGGCTCTGACCTTGGTTTAGAAAACCACATTTAGGTTAGCTCCGATAATATCGTTTAAATCTAATAGATTAAAGTGATCCAAAATAGTTAAAAGTGTTTACTACAAAAATCTACATTGCCTTTCATCGATTGGTCTACAATCGCAGTGAGTAAAATTAATATTCTCAATAATAGATAATTACAACATATTCTAAAAGTCAACAAAATTATCACAAAGGCCGCTTCAACCGGTTTCAGAGCGGGTTTTATCCAAAACTCTGCTGATAATACAGAGCCGGATTGGCACGGGTAAAAAATTGACTATGATAAATAAATTTAAAGACAAAAATTATTAACCAAAAATGAATCCAAAAGAGAATAATCCTTCAAAAAACACCACACCGTCTACATACTCAAATATACTAACTTCATTCAAATATCCGGCAAAAGACCAAGCTATTGTACTATCTGCCATAGAAGGAATTAAAATTCATGATTATATAGTTGCCATTGGATCACTTGTCCTTCCAAAGAACATCGTTTTTGCCTCGAAAATTGCAAACAACCGCATTTGCATTTATTTATCTTCTAAAAGAATAGTAGACCAACTCATTGATTGACACAAATACGTCAAAATCAGCAACGTGCAAGTAGAAGTCCGCAGATTAATAACTCCAGCATTAAGATTAGTCATCTCGAATGTTTGTCCAACCATTCCAAACGAAGTTATAGAAGAAGAACTCAAGAAAATGGGAATTATAGCCATATCAAAAATGACATTTCTTCGAGTGGGTATGTCTGAGACAGAATATAACCATGTTCTAAGTTTTCGGCGGCAAATCTACATCAATCCATTAGAAAACTTATCCATAACAGACTCTTTCAACATCTCTTTTGATTCCACAACATATCGAATATACCTTTCTATAGACGAATTTAATTGTTCTTAATGTCGAACAATAGGACACCGAGAAGTTGACTGCATTCAAACAACGGATTCGCCCAGGGAACAAATGGAAACAGAAGTACCTGAAAATCCTAATTAAAATAACCAAACCAATATAGAGCTAACTGAAACCACCAATAAAACTCCATCTGAAGTCAACATTCCCTATAACCCTCCAGCTCCTACCCTATCTATAACTAGCAACGATAACCCATCTTTAAATAAAGATAAAGCCAAAAGACAATTATCAAATTCTCCAGATGTTTCTGATATTCCCACATCACAAGACGTCTTTCTCTGTTCCCAAAACATCTAAACCAAAAAAAAGGGCCAAGTCGACTGAAAATACATTTGCTGTCCTCGATCCTATTAAAAACTTAATAGAACAAAAAAATCCGCCCTTTCCTATAGGTTATTCAGAATATGCCTATTTTTAGAAAATGCCACTAACTCTAAAAACCCTGAACTTATAGCAAAAGAATACACCAATGAAATATCCGAAATTATTGACATTCTCACTTTTATCCACGCAAATATTCAAAATCCCTCTTTAAAAAGAACAATTACAACTATTAAGAAAAAATTATCCTCAAATTATTATTCATCTACAGAAGAATCTGACAACGACACAATTAGTCAGGATAAATAATGTCTGATACATTTTTAATTCAATGGAACCTAAACGGATTCTACACCCACCTTGAGCAATTAAAACTTCTTATAAACGATTTCTCTCCCATTGTAATTTGTCTGGAAGAATCTCACTTTAAAAACAATTCTGTAACACTTAGAAATTATGTGCCATTTCTGAAAAACAGAAATGGAATGCATGCTAGTGGTGGAGTAGCTACTTTCATCCGAAATGACACTGAAGCAAAAATCATTCCACTTATTACAAACCTGGAAGCTGTGGCTGTGTCAATTACCTACAGTAAAATCATCAATGTTTGTAATATATACTTACCGCATCCTAACCAAGACGACATAAATGAACTAACAGCACTCATAGAAAAAATACCCCATCCCAAAGTAATTCTAGGCGATTTTAACTGCCATCACCCAGCGTGGGGTAGCCAAAAAATCGATAAATGTGGCAACTTTCTACACAGTCTGATAAATAAATCAAATTTAATCTTATTAAACACTGGAAAGCCAACAAGATTCAATTCATATAACGGATCATTCTCTGCAATTGACCTGACTCTTTGTAGCCCATCACTAGCACACATGTTTCAATGGAACACAGCAAAAACTCTGCACGACAGTGACCATTCCCCTTACTCATTTCAATCGAGACAAACCAACCTCTTAATCCGAATGTATATCAAAGATGGAAAATAAAATCAGCAAACTGGGAACTTTTTCAAAAAGACTTGGAAGACGAGATGGAAAATTATGAGATATCAAATGACATTCACAAAACCGTCACGGACTTTAACAACATTATCTTAAATTGTGCATCTACATCTGTAGGAAAAACTAAACCGTGTAAAAGGCAACCGGTACCCTGGTGGAATCAAGAAATCTCTCGGGCCTTGGCTGCTAGCAAGCACGCCTTTAATGTTTTTAAGAGACACAAAACAGAGGAAAACCTAATAAAATTTAAGAGATTGAGAGCTAGTACACGATTCTTAATAAAAAAGAGTAAGAAGGAGACCTGGATTGAATATGTTAAAAGCATTAACACATCCACACCAGCAAATATAATCTGGAACAAAATAAAGAAAATAAAAGGATCAAGTTTACCTTACTCAATAAATGCACTTTCATATAACAACCAAATCATCTCTTGTAGAAACGAAATTCCTGAAATTCTAGTAGACGTATTTCAAAAAAACTCTAGCGATTCTGTACTAGATCCGATCTTTTCTATACATAAGACTACCACAGAATTTGTAGACATCAAAATTCGCAACCAGATCTCTCCCATAAATGTACCCATAACTTTGCAAGAATTAGATTTTTCTCTTTTAAACTTAAAAACCACATCTCCAGGTCCTGATGATATTCCATCGATATTTTTAAAAAATCTACCCCAAAAATGCAAAAAGATACTTTTAGACATCTTTAATCACATCTTTTTAAATCATTACTTTCCTGATAATTGGACGAAAGCTATTATAATCCCAATTTATAAACAACACAATCCAAAAGATTGTCCTACATCTTACCGTCCTATTTCCCTCACCTGTAACATGTGTAAACTTCTCGAGAAAATTTTAAATTACAGGCTTACATGGTATCTAGAAAATGAAAATCTCCTGACCACCGTTCAAAGTGGTTTTTCGACGAGGAAGATCTGCTAACGACAACTTAGTGGCACTTGAGTCAACCATTCATGATGCATTCTTACTAGATCAGAAAGTTATAGCAGTCTTTTTTGATGTGAATAAAGCTTTCGACACAACATGGAGATACCTCATATTAAATAAACTTGATAAATGGGGAATTCAAGGACATATGCTTGCGTTTATAAAAAACTTTCTGAATAAAAGGGAAATACAAGTAAGAGTAAATGGATACACCTCTACCACTAGAATACTTGACAACGGTGTTCCACAAGGTTCTATTTTAAGCCCAACTTTATTTTTAATTGCATTTAACGATGTAATAAATACAATTAAGCCTCCTATAAAAGCAAACTTATACGCTGATGATTTAGTTGTGTATATTAAATGCAAAAATATTACATCTGGGGCCAAAATATTACAGAACCTTCTATACAAAATCGAAGAATGGTCTTCCAAAACAGGCTTCCTCTTTTCAACTAATAAAAACACATTACACAGTTTTCAGCAAACGCAAGAATACCATTCCTGTTTCGTTAAGATTTAACGGTCAAAATATATCTCATTCAGAGGAATCGAATTTTTTGGGCCTAACGTTTGATTACAAATTAAACTGGAAAACACACACATTACGACCTTACAACTAACTTGTCAAAATAGAATAAACTTGCTGAAAATTCTATCCAATAATATATGGGGAGCTGATTCTAGTATTCTGCTTAACCTCTACAAATCAATTATTCGAAGTAAACTAGACTATGGTGCAATATGCTACGATACATCAAATAAAACGTTTCTAAAAAACCTTAACACAATTCAAACAACAGCTCTAAGATTAGCCGTCGGTGCCTTCAGAACCAGTCCTGTAAGCAGCTTACAAGTAATATCAAGAGAACCCCCTCTACATCTAAGACGACATCTACTTAGTTTAAATTATGCAGCAAGAATATCTTCCAATAAAAAGCACCCATTATATTCTGAGATTATTAACGCACCTACATCCAATTTATATAGAAACAAACAATATAAAGACAAACCCTTTAGGGAAAGAATCAGTCAAAAAGGATTCAATTGCAATGAATTCAAATTATCCATAACTACAAAATTAGACTTTCTCCATGGCTTACCCCCTTACCTATCACCGATTTAACTTTAACACAGTACCCAAAAAATACCACAAATCCTAACCTTATCATTAACGCATTCAAAGAAATTATGGAGAAGTATCCAAATCACCACATAATATACACAGATGCGTCAAAAACTGAAAGTGGCCATGCTGCAGCCTTCACAAATAAAAATTACAAATATGCCATTAGAATTCCACAGCATTGCAGCAT